TAATGAAGACAATGAGTCTGGCAACTTTCCTCCATTCCTGGTGAGCACCAGGTGAAAAGCTGAGAAGGAACCTGTAACAAAAGGATCTAGAACACCCCAAATATCTGTGACACATCCCATGTACCTCCTGAGAGGGACATGGGTACCCTGCCTATTGGGTACCCCTGGCCCCAACACAGGACCTCGAGGCCTGAATACCAGTTTACAGTAAAGACAAAGGGCAGAGAACCATGGCCATCAAAACCAAGAGCATGCCGGGTGCAGTGGCTCACGCCTGTAACCCCAGAATTTTGGGAGGCCGAGGTGGGTGGATCACGAGGTCAAAAGATTGAGACCATCCTGGTCAACATGGTGAAACCCTGTCTCTACTAAAAATACAAAACATTAGCTGGGCATGGTGGCGCGTGCATGTAATCCCAGCTACTCAGGAGGTTGAGGCAGGAGAATTGCCTGAACCCAGGAGGCGGAGGCTGCGGTGAGCCGAGATTGCGCCATTGCACTCCAGCCTGGGTAACATGAGTGAAACTCCGTCTCAAAAAAAAAAAAACCAAGAGCACAAAGTCAGCCAGATTCAGAATCAGGGAAATTATACCAGACTAAGTTCTAAGTTTTTCAGACAAATAAATGGCATGGAACAAAGAGAGAGAAGGAGAATTACTCTAAATTAAGAGTCGTAAGATCAACCAAATTCAGTATTTGGACCTTTGCTGGGATGCTAATTTGAAGGAAAAAAATTTTTGAGACAATCAGGAGAAAATGAATACAGATTTGGTATTAGATGATTTTAAGGAATTATAAATTTGTAAGGTAAGATAACTATATTAAATTTAAGCCCTTATTTCTTATTGAAGTATTTATGAGTGAAATTACATGATGTCTGGGATTTGTTCTACCAAAAACAAAGCCAAAAAAAAGTCTGAGGTAGGGAGAAAGATGAAACAAGAACCATGACATGTCATTAAGTGATGACGCAGGGTGAAAGTTTCGTGGGCGTTCATTATGCTATTCCCTCCTTTTTGTGTAATTCTGAAATTCTGAAGAGTTTGTCTTGGCTATACAACTAGGAGTAGAACTTCTGGGTCAAAAGATATATACATATTCAACTTTAAGAGATAATGTCAAGCTGTTTTCCAAATGGTTTGCCCCAATTTACTCTCACCAGCAAAGTGGGTGATGCTACAGAACCACAGGATCCATGCTTTGTACGGTCAGACTTTGTAAAATCTTGCCAATTATATATACATAAAAATAGTTTTCAGTGCAGTTTTAACTCACATTTCTTTGCTTATTAATGGGCTGAACAGCTCCTCATATGCTTATTGGTCATATACGTCTCATCATCTGTGAATTCCAGTTCACGTCTTTTACTATTTTTGTTCATAATTTCTTTGATTTGTACAAGTTCTTTATATATTTGGCTAAGGATTATTTGTTGGTATATAGTTTACAAATACTTTCTAGTTATAAGTTGTCTTCATAAAGATATCTATCTGGTCAACACAGATTCTGCATTTTAATACAGTCAAATGCACCAATCTTTTTTCACATTAACATTTTTATATACTCAGAACTCCTTCCTTCAAGTCTAAAAGAGAGTCACATCAATTTTCTACCAATATGCTCTCATAAATTTTTTATTCTCTAAATGTTATTACCCCTTTTTCATTCAACCTTTCTGTGTAGATTCTCTTTTCTTCTCTTAATAAGGTGTACCAGAAGTTTGCCTATTTTGATTTCAAAGAACCAACTTTTGCCTTTCATTGATCTTCTGTATTTGCCTATTAAAGTCCAGCTGGGGAACACAGAGGAAAGAGGCCCCAGGAACTACCCTGTCACTGACCTGACTCTGGCCAGTGTGGGGGCCACAGGGACTGGGGCAGCCCCACTGATACTGTTAGATTAGTCAGGAAGGCTCACTTTAATAAAAAAAATTCTTTTAAGAAGTATATTTGAAAATGTGTTTTACATTTTAAAATTAACTTTGTAGCTACAGTTAAAAAATACTAAATGATTCTATATTTACTGAAAATAAATTAGGCAAGGTACTTGGGAGTCACTGATAATATGCCCACTAATACTCTGATAGGTTTAAATGCAAATTTAGGGAATACTTTTGACGATCTGTGTCAGACAGTCAGCCAACATCAACAAAAATCAGTATCTAATATAAAACTATTTTAACTTACTAAAAATGGAAGTTTATACAGTGAGTTTTTTCCTAAATTGTTATTTTCACAAGGGAAAGAGGCTTCCTAATTTTTTAGCAGTGTTTAAGTGTGAAATATATGTTTTAAAACAAAATTAGATAATCTACTCCATAAATATGTCGATGTAAGAATTCTGAACTAAGCTGGGTGCAGTGGCTTGCATCTGTAATCCCAGGTACTCAGTAAGCTTAGGCAGTAGGACTGCTTGAGGGCAGGAGTTTGAGATCAGCCTAAGCAACATAGTGAGACCCTCACCTCTTTAAAAAAAATCAGAATTATATAAGTATCTTACCTTAGCTTTTACTCAATTTTATTTTCCTGTTCATTCAAAATCAGAAAAATTAAGATCAGCTTTACTATTAAATCCTCAAAAGACTTCCTATTTGAGAAAAAATTAGGCCAAAGAAAACTCCTAACACTCAAGCCTACAGTACCTATAATATCAAAAAGGATGCATATCAATGACACAAATATTTCTCAGAAATAGAGAAAACAACTTTCTAATTTATCCACAGCTTACACCCTAGATTCTGAATCCCTCTCCTCAAAATCATAGCCTTGTAGACAATGCATCAATCCTGGACTATCTTCAACCAGTGCTAATCAAGATCTCCCACTCCACCTCACACCCAGTGCTAATACTGACCCCACCCTATGCCCAGGGCTAATCCACACCCCATCCTCATATCAAGACAGTGCTGAGAAGGGGGCTGCAGACTTTTATACACAGATGGAGGATTTATACCCCAGAACAGTATTTTTCAAAGGGTAGGTATAAAATCTCCTTAGAAGAGCAGAACAGGGCAAAATTGAATGAAATATGCAAGATACACTACACAGAAAAAGAGCAAGCTCTGTTTTGTGAAATTGCCACTATGCAGGTATGTGCATACCTGAAAGCCTTGTTAACATGTATGTCTCACTATAACTACAGGTTGCAGCCAAAGTTTAAAAGCCATTGCCCATGAAAGCCTCTCACATTCATAGAAAAGGAGGTAAGAACAGAAGTTCTTGCTGCACTTCGGTGAAAAGGAGGCCAGTGAGGGAATAACAGAGGGGCCTACAACAGCAATTAAAAGCAGTGCATGAGAATGACTAACTCAAAAACATACAGACAGCAGGAGGAGGAGGAGTGAGTGAGCACTGAGTAGTGAGGGGGATGGGCTGGGGAAAAGAAGGACACACCCATTATCATTGGAAGAAGGTGAAAAAGTAACTGGCGGCTTATAACCACAGCAAACACAGAAGTGAGGATATAGGATCCTGCTGGCCAACAACTTGTCAGGGACACATCCACTCCATGACAAAGAACTCACCTATTAAAAGAGATCTGCTAAGTGCAGGTGACAGCTCATGTTTAGATCCTATACATCCAGATAGAGAGGTAAAAAAATAAAGAGGCATGTGTCACAGTGGGATGGTAAACACACAGCCATGTCCTGGCTTGGTCTGCTGACAGGGCCTAAAAGCAGGAGCCACATGCCCTCTGAGTGCCTAGATCTTGGTTTCTAAATACCATTCAGTAAAGGAAACTAGACTCCTTGGACTATGGCTGATTCTAGGACTGGAATAGAGAAAATATAAGATTAACCCAGAGAATCTTGTAGTGCCAGAAAGTAAATGCTTTTAAAAAAAAAAAAAAAAAAAGGTTGGGGGGCGCGCAGGGGGCAATGCAAAGATGTCAAAGGACTCAGAAGTCAATCTGAGGGAGTCCACAATGGCCAGAGCTGGAACAGTGTGGGGAGCAAAATAAATAATATAGTAGCAAAGAATAAAAGAGCTACCTGTGAGTCCATAATGATATAAGTAACTGAATAAATTATAATAAATGAATGAGGGAAGGGGACAAATCTTCCTAATAGAAGTCCAATTAAAAATGTAGAAGGAACGAGGGAAGTAAGAAATTGCCATTAAAACATGATAATTGCCAAGAGCCACTGATGATGCTAACAACATCAGTAGGACCTCAAGGAGAAACAGGATGTTTGCATAACCTCTTAAGTCAGTATCTTACCCAAAATATTTATTAATTCCTTGCAGTGGTTTTAACATATGCTAAGAATTTAACAAATTCTTTGAAACTCCTCTATCCTCCCAGGAAATGGAATTAATCACCAGTCCTTAAGTAGAGCTGGACGTAGTGGCTCTAATGAAGAGCGTACAGAAAGGGGACAATGGTCTCATGACCATGGAGGAACCCGGCAGACCAGTCTCAGCCACGTGATCCAAGCAAACATCACAGTAATAACTTGTGTTAACATCATGTACCTCTGACATGACATGATGAGAAGGACAAGATGCCTCTGTGGTATTCCTCTCCAAATCCATAGCCCTGAGTCTAATCATGAGAAAACACCAGATAGACCCAAATTGGCAATATTCTACAACATACCTAGCCTCTTCAAAAGCGTGAAGGTCATGAAAATCAAAAAAAGAAACTGCCAAAGACTGAAGGTGATGAAAACATAATGCCTAAATGCAAGGTGAATCCTGAAGCTAATTCTGGAAGAGAAAGGGGACACTAGGTAATGAGAAAACCAGAGAAACTAGGGGAAGGGAAAAAAAAAAAAAAGCCTGTGGTCAAGTTAATAATCATAATATATGTTAATATTTATAATTAATATATTATGATT